GTTTCGTAGCTTCGGTGGTACTATACGCTAAGCTTTTGATTACTTTGGTTATGTGAATGCGATTGGGATGACTCGCCGCCTGACAGAATTGTTCGGTTGTGGCAGCGTTTTAGAGAGGAACTTCATTTACTAGGAGAAATTAAAATACCACGTCATATAAACGTCGATAGAAATAGCGTCATCACGGTCGTTGGGTTTGCAGACGCCAGCGAGAAGGCTTACGGGGACGTTGTATATTTCCACGTCCAGAATAATGGTAGAAATTCGATTAGCCTCATTAGCTCTAAGTCAAGAGCCTCCCCCCTCCACCGTAAGGTTGTCTCTCTGGCGCGCTTAGAGCATTGCGCGATATTAGTCCTCACCAAGCTTATCACCGCAGTTATCAGTGCATGTAGTGACAGAGTTCACATAGAAAGGATATTTACTTTTTCTGCCTCAACCGTCGCTCTATGTTGGGTTAATTCTTCACCCCACCGTTGGGATACGTTTGTCGCGAACCGAGTGACCAAGATCCAAGACGAGTTAGGAACACGGAACTTTTATCACGTGTCGGGTGTGCAAAACCCTGCCGATTGTCTATCCCGTGTACTCACCCCGATTCAGATAATGGACCATTCGCTTTGATTCCACGGACCTTCTTGGGTTCACTTGGAACCCTCGCACCCTATAGTTTACCACATAAAGACCATATCATGAATTTTATTAATTATGTTTAGTAATTTAGTTAGTTTTAGTAGTATTAATTTAGTTGATTACCACCATAAATTGAATTCTCACGCTGGCCCCGACTTGCTGATGTCAGTCTTGCATCAGAATTATTGGATTCTTGCAGCACGTAATTTAATCCGTAATCGGGTGCACAGATGTATAGCTTGCTTTCGAGTACGTCTTAAGCCGTCATTTCCGGAAATCGCGGACCTTAGGTCCTGTCGAGTAACACAATCCGTTTGTGTCCTTTGCCCATTCAAAATTGGATTAGATTTCTAGATTAGAAATTGTAGTCGAAATTTAGGTTTAATCATAGCGTTAGTTTTTGTTAGTTTAATCTTAGCGTTAGTTGTTTTAGTTATTTTTGAAAGGGATCCTTCAAGCCGGGGGGGGGATGGTTACGCCGAAAACCATTCGTATTTTTATTTTATACGAGGGTATGCTTGCCAAGCGTTTTGTCCTTTCCATGACCTATCGTCTCCCCGACACACCGGGGTGGTGGGGTGAGAGGGGAAAGAAGAAAGTTCTCGAATGTCACGTAATTCTCGCAACCAATGAGAAGAGCGCCCGACTTCGGTGGGAAAAAAGGAGATATAAGCCCGCGCACGGCACTCGCGCGCTCTCTTCCCTTTGCGCCGCTAGTTGGAATCACACCGCCTGGGACAGTCACGTCCCAGAGGGCTCTTGCCCACGCACACCGCTAGTTTCAAAACCGCACCAACCTGGAGCAGTCGAGCTCCAGAAGTAACCGCCTCACCTAGTGAGATATCGTCGCGCACCGCTCTCTTCCATCGCACCACCGAGCAGGACCGCATTCCTGGGGCCCCAGGAGATCCGCCAGAAGTACCGCACCGCAGCAACAAAGCGTCCAAGCCGCATCGAAGTAACACCCCGGTAAGTGCGCTTCCTTATTACGTCCCCTGCTTGAGTATTTGTGTTTTATTAGTTCATCCGCCCCAATTTCATTTCTCCTAATGTGATCAAGCAGGATTCTTTCAATAAACCTTGACAAGCAATAGGTTTTTTTTGGAAGAGCGAGTGCATTGTCAAGGAACCGCATGCTATAGACGCCGTTTTGTTGAAGCAGAAGTAGCCGACCGCGTATACAGTCCATCTAGTATAAAATCTCGCGTGATAGGCTTAAGGTTTGACCGGGGAATTGGAACTCGGTAACCCTTAGGCCCGTCGCCCAACCAACATTTTAGAAAACCGAATCTGTTAGGGACGTTTCTTAAGATGGTGTAAAGATTATGTTAGCAATCGATATTTCCAAGTAAAGATAGAAAATAATTTAAGTATTAAAACCCCTATGACTACAGGTACGACACAAGGCTAAGTTATAGGGCCACTCCATTACTTAAAATTCGTAAATGAATTAGAAAATATCATTAAAATGTAGTTTGTACCAATATGCAGATGATACGTGCCTTCTTTCAGAAGATAAAAATGTGTATATCGCCATGCAAAAATTACAAGATGATTTTTCACGCCTCTCTATGTGGGCTCACGATCTAGGACTTGTAATAAATATACAAAAAACTAAGGTACTACACATTCATTCTAGTCATATCAAGAATATTATACCAGTAAGCATTATTGCTCATAATCATCTTTGTCTGGACAATATAATAACTTGTTCATGCGAAAAAATCCCACTTGTTAAGTATAACACATACTTAGGACTGATTATAGATAATAGGATGAACTGGAAGAATCATATTGATTACATGTGTAGTAAATTAAGGGCAATCCTAGCGAAATTTTATATTATTCGTAATAAAGTTCCATTTAAAATTCTTCTAAGCCTATATAATGCTCTAGTGGAATCGATAGTATCATATGGTCTTAGTAGTTATAGACGAACTCCGCACTTACCTAGATAAAATTTACAGCTTACAAATAAGAATTTTAAAATCTATATTGCCTCAACACTTTAAGGACAAATATCGAAATGATTACTCATACCTTTTCACGTACTGCAATGTTTACCCATATATAAAAAGATAAAATACATGCTTTTAAAAGAATGTTATTAATACTCGATGTACCTTACCCCAAGGGAACGCATTTATAGCACTAGGAATAAAACACCTTATTCACCAATTAGAAATAATAATTACTCCGGTATGAGAACACGTAAATTTCTAATACCATACATATTAAATTCTATACCTACGGAGACAAGAAGCCAGCTAACCGCACAAAACTTGAAAACAAAACTTAAACATTTTTTCGCATAATAAGAATTCAAAAAAATCTCTATATATTATTTCAATGAGAATCATAACGAGCTATTTCTATCTATGCCAATAGTTGTTAAATTGGACAAATAAACAAAACGTGTAACAAAATAAAATACATAAAAAAATTCATCATCATCATCATCATCACAGCCCTTCACAAGTCCACTGCTGAACATAGGCCTCCCCCAAGTAATGCCACAAAGCACGGTCCTGAGCCACCTGCATCCATCGACTTCCTGCATATCTTACCAGGTCGTCACTCCATCTAGTGGGGGGTCGCCCTACACTACGCCTACCGGTACGAGGCTGCCACTCGAGAACCTTTCTTCCCCATCGGTTATCGGTTCTTCGAGCTATATGGCCGGCCCATTGCCACTTCAGCTTACTAATCCGTTGGGCTATGTCGGTCACTCTGGTTTTACTGCGGATATCCTCATTTCTGAGTCTATCACGTAGAGAAACTCCGAGCATAGCCCTCTCCATAGCTCGCTGAGCGACCTTGAGCGTCCTCATACGGCCAGCAGTGAAGGACCACGTCTCTGATCCGTAAGTCATCACTGGCAACACGCACTGGTTGTACACTTTAGTTTTTAGAGATTGAGGTATACCTGACGAGAAGATGTGTCGTAATTTCCCGAACGCTGCCCAGCCGAGTTGAATCCGTCGATTGACCTCTCGGTCGAAGTTGGACTATTTGTCCCAGGTAAACGTACTCGTCAACAACTTCGAGCATAGTGCTCCCAACTATGTTTGCCGTGTGGTGGCGATTAAGAATATCCACTACCCCATATCTTCCCGTGGGTGTCGTAAAAGGCGACAGAGGGAGACAGGCAGGAGATGGGCAGCAGCATCTTCCTGATAATAGCAACTGTACGACAAAAAAAACTGCGGTTGCCAACCCGCTCGCCAAGCGTGGCAACTATGGCAATATACCCCCCATGAACAATTACACAAATAAAAAAAATTATTCCTTAAAAATACAATCCGTGTGTACGCGCATAAATAAGATAGTACAGTATATCGGATAAGCGAACAATTGAAGACAACAATCACGTTTTTGCTTCACTATTCCAGGTAAACAATACCAAAAACTACCTTCTCCACAAAAATAATAATAATAATAATAATAGATAATAGAGAGAATATATAAGAATATATAGAGAGAATATATAACATCGAGGTACAGAGCAGACTGACGGGGTGGCAACAGAGGTTGGAAAGTGTTGGCTTGAAGATCAGCAGATCCAAAACCGAATATCTGTGCTGTGATTTCGGCGGTCTTTCCAGTCCTGTACCCATGTCGTTGGATGGCGCTATACTACCTACCTGCTCAGAATTCAAGTACCTCGGTTCTCTCATTCAAGGCGACGGCGGAATAGATAGAGCTGTGCAGCATAGGATTAACGCAGGGTGGATGAAATGGCGACAGGTCACAGCCACAACGTGCGATCCCCGAATGCCAATAAGGCTGAAGGGGAAAATTTACAAATCGATCATCCGACCTGTCGTCATGTATGGAAGTGAATGCTGGGCCGTCAAGAAGAAGGATGAAAATAGACTGCATGCGAATGAAATGAGAATGTTATGATGGATGTGTGGTGTGACAAGGATGGAACAGATAAGGAATGAGTATATAAGAGGAAGCCTGAAAGTAGCGCCAGTGGTAGAAAAGGTGAGAGGAAGCAGATTGGCATGGTTTGGGCATGTGATGCGGAGGGATGAAAGTCATGTCACAAAACGAGTGTTGAATATGAATGTGGAGGGACACACGGACAGAGGAAGGCCGAATAAAAGATGGATCGATTGCGTGAAGAGTGATATGAGAATGAAAGGAGTAAGTATGGAAATGACGGCTGATAGAGAGGAATGGAACAAGAAGATTTACTGCGCCGACCCCAGATAATGGGATATGGTTTAGAGAATGATGAGAGAGAATATATAAGAATAATAGATAATAGAGAGAATAAGAATAGAGATGAACAGCAACGCATTGCGGGCGTATTTTAGGGCGAAAGGGGAGAAACTGGATGTTTGGCGTATCGGGCTAGGATGCATCGTCTTTTTGCTGAGCTGGAGCCATCTTTAACCGTCACAGAGCAAAACCTGGCAGACCGAGTTCGGTATATCTTGCGCTCAAATATATTTGATGTCGCCGAACTCGAACGGCTACGACGTGAGGCTGTTCCCTCGTCGGATGAGAATGCTACGGCTGAGGATGCGGCGCCACAAATGGTAGAGCAACCCGCAAACGTGGATGCCGCCGTGAATACCCCAGTTGTGGTTGATTCAAGCGATGATGGAACAGTCACCCAGGAACTGGAATTAGAGCATATGAGGAGTACATTGGAAGAGGCGATTGTGGAAACGCGCAGTACGCCTCTCGAAAATCGACCGCGACTTCCCCCGCATAGCCCTAAGCAAGCGGAATCGGGCTGTCGTGAGGGCTCTGAACCCAATGCTGGTGAACTATTTGGAAGCCAGCCGGGACCTTTGCGAGACGGACTCAATACTTTTTGGCGCCGCGCTGGCAGTCTGCCGTATCATAGGCGCCAAGGTTTCCACGGCTGGACGCGCTACTGGCCATAGAAGCGCTATCCCAGCATGGAGAAGAAGAATTGAGGAACGTATCGCAAAGGCTAGAGCTCTCATCGGCAGACTGATATGCTTCAGATCAGGCAACAACAGGCCAAGAATTGTGCGCACCGTCAGGATGGCGTTTGCTGGGACAAATGTCAATTTGTCCCAGCTGGATATAACGCAAAAACTGACGGAGCGCATAGATGATCTGAAGCAGAGAATCGCTGCTTGGGGAAAGCGGATTCGGCGATATACCGAGAGGTCGACACGGTTCAACCAGAATCGTCTCTTCCAGAGTGATCAGAAGAGGCTCTATGAATCATTGGAGCGACCAATGGTAAGTGGAACGGGTCCAGCACCGAATCAGGCCGACACTGTAGCATTCTGGCGCGGCCTGTGGTCAGAGCCCGTAAACCACAGAGAGGGCCCTTGGACGGAAGTTGTGGCGAGTCAGTGTGCGGGTATTACGCGCATGGACCCCGTTATCATAACGCCAGATGACGTAGCTGAGGCGATCCGTATAGGCCCCGAACTGGAAAAGTCCGGGGCTTGACGGGCTGCATCACTACTGGCTGAAGGGGTTCATGGTGTGTCACTCTGTGCTCGCCCGACAGTTTCAAGAGGCTCTCAACCAGAAGTCGCTCCCAAGCCTCTTCACTACTGGGATCACTCATTTGGTTCCTAAAGACCAGGGTACCACAGACCCGAGCAAATACCGCCCCATCACGTGTCTACCGACCATATACAAGACACTAACATCCATTTTGAGCGCGAGAATCACTTGTCACCTGGACTCAAATCAGGTGATGTCGCGCGCTCAAAATGGATGTCGGGGCGGTGGTCGTGGAACCAAGGAACCACTCCTCATTGACGCGGTCATTGGCAAAGTGGTGAAACGCAACCGTCGGAACTTCTCCGCCGCCTGGATAGACTACAGAAAGGCATTCGACTCGGTGCCCCATACATGGCTAAAGAGAGTCCTCGAGCTGTACAAGGTAGACTGTACAGTTAGAGACTTCCTCGAGCAGTGTATGGGGCAGTGGAGTACGATCCTTTGTCATCTGGGCGAGCGGATGATGGCTGCGGAGAACCACATAAGGATAAGAAGGGGTATCTTCCAGGGCGATTGTCTGAGTCCAATCTGGTTCTGCCTCTCTCTGAACCCTCTCAGTACCTTACTGGAGGACTCCGGGAGGGGATTTCAGCTACGGAAAGGAGGGACAAAAGTGACCCACCTTTTCTATATGGATGACCTCAAGTTATTTGCCTCCAGTCGCTCCCATCTTATGGAATTGCTAAACATCACTTGTGAATTTAGCAATTCCATTGGAATAGAGCTTGGGAGGGATAAGTGTGCGGTCCTCCATGTTGAAAGGGGAAGGTTTGCTAACTCTGAGGGCGTAGACTTATCTATGCCCGTCAACTTAAGGACCCTTTCCGAGGCTGAAACATACCGATACCTGGGTATGTCACAAAACATCGGTATCGATGAGACTGGTATGAAACAGTCAGTTTGCGACGTGTTTTATGCACGCTTGACCAAAGTGCTTAACAGCCTTTTGTCCGGTGTGAATAGGGCACACGCATATAACGGCTGAGTCATGCCTGTCCTCATGTATACCTTTGGCATACTCAGGTGGACTCAGACTGAACTTAACGCCCTGGATAGAAAAGTCCGCACTACCATGACGTCCCATAGGATGCATCATCCGAGATCGTCGGTAATGAGGCTGTACTTGTCGCGGAAGCATGGTGGTCGTGGCTTCTTGAGCGCGCTCACCATGCATAATCGCGAAGTGTGCAGCCTCCGTGATTACTTCCTGGCGAGATCGGATGATCCATTCTATAAGGACGTCATTTCTTGTGATAAAGGACTTACCCCTCTATCCTTAGCCAACGAGCAATGGCAAGACCCGGCAGTGCAGAGCATTTCCGACCGGGAGACCGTACGGAAGGAGAAGGAGCTCCACGGGAGGTTCTACAAGGCTCTACATGAGCCTTTCGTAGACACAGTAGCCTCCCTCCACTGGCTACGCTTTGGTGATCTCTTCGGGGAAACCGAGGGTTTTGTCTGTGCAATACAGGATCAGGTTATTAAGACCAACAACTATCGGAGATACATCCTAAAGGATGGCACCGTTGACATCTGTCGAGCTTGTCGCCATCCCGGTGAGTCACTTAGGCATGTTATCTCCGGTTGTTTGGCGCTTTCTAACTCTGAGTACTTGCACAAGCACAACCTAGTAGCCAGAATTCTACACCAGGAGCTCGCTCTGAAATACGGTCTCGTGGATCGGAAATTGCCGTATTACAAGTACTTGCCGGAAGCCGTGCTCGAAAATGATCGCGCCAGGCTCTATTGGGACCGGGCCATCATCACAGACAGAACTATTCTTGCGAATAAGCCTGATATTGTGCTGATGGACCGGGCACAGTCAAGGATATTTTTGGTCGACATTACCATTCCGTATGACGAGAACCTCGTGAAAGCCGAAACAGACAAGCAAACAAAATATCTGGACCTGGCTCACGAGGTGACCGACATGTGGGGTGGTCTGCCGACCGAAATTATTCCTGTAGTCGTCTCTGCAAACGGGCTAATCCCAGTCAGCCTCTCGGGTCATCTGAGGCGGCTGAGACTACGTGGCGGACCGCTCCAGGTTCAAATGCAGAAGGCGGTGCTCCTCGATACCGCCCGCATCGTCCGCCGGTTTCTTTCCCTTTCCCCCTAACCCTCGGCCGTTTGGTCTCCCCTGCCGAGGGCCTCCATCTGGTTGGGCTTTTATTTATTTATGTACTTTTATATTTATTTTATGTTATTGATATTTATGTATATTTATCTTTTCATTTTCATTTATAATTATATATTTATAGAACCCAACCAGATGAGAAAACTATTCAGATACCCCATAATAATAATAGTAGTTACAAGTACTTACCGGAAGCCGTGCTCGAAAATTACCGCGCCAGGCTCTACTGGGACCGGGCCATCATCACAGACAGGACAATTCTTTCGAATAAGCCTGATATTGTGCTGATAGACCGGGCACAGTCAAGGATATTTTTGGTCGACATTACCATTCCGTATGACGAGAACCTCGTGAAAGCCGAAACAGACAAGCAAACAAAATATCTGGACCTGGCTCACGAGGTGACCGACATGTGGGGTGGTCTGCCGACCGAAATTATTCCTGTAGTCGTCTCTGCAAACGGGCTAATCCCAGTCAGTCTCTCGGGTCATCTGAGGCGGCTGGGACTACGTGGCGGACCGCTCCAGGTTCAAATGCAGAAGGCGGTGCTCCTCGATACCGCCCGCATCGTCCGCCGGTTTCTTTCCCTTTCCCCCTAACCCTCGGCCGTTTGGTCTCCCCTGCCGAGGGCCTCCATCTGGTTGGGCTTTTATTTATTTATGTACTTTTATATTTATTTTATGTTACTGATATTTATGTATATTTATCTTTTCATTTTCATTTATAATTATATATTTATAGAACCCAACCAGATGAGAAAACTATATAGATACCCCATAATAATAATAGAACTGAACTTAACGCCCTGGATAGAAAAGTCCGCACTACTATGACGTCCCATAGGATGCATCATCCGAGATCGTCGGTAATGAGGCTGTACTTGTCGCGGAAGCATGGTAGTCGTGGCTTCTTGAGCGCGCTCACCATGCATAATCGCGAAGTGTGCAGCCTCCGTGATTACTTCCTGGCGAGATCGGATGATCCATTCTATAAGGACGTCATTTCTTGTGATAAAGGACTTACCCCTCTATCCTTAGCCAACGAGCAATGGCAAGACCCGGCAGTGCAGAGCATTTCCGACCGGGAGACCGTATGGAAGGAGAAGGAGCTCCACGGGAGGTTCTACAAGGCTCTACATGAGCCTTTCGTAGACACAGTAGCCTCCCTCCACTGGCTACGCTTTGGTGATCTCTTCGGGGAAACCGAGGGTTTTGTCTGTGCAATACAGGATCAGGTTATTAAGACCAACAACTATCGGAGATACATCCTAAAGGATGGCACCGTTGACATCTGTCGAGCTTGTCGCCATCCCGGTGAGTCACTTAGGCATGTTATCTCCGGTTGTTTGGCGCTTTCTAACTCTGAGTACTTGCACAAGCACAACCTAGTAGCCAGAATTCTACACCAGGAGCTCGCTCTGAAATACGGTCTCGTGGATCGGAAATTGCCGTATTACAAGTACTTGCCGGAAGCCGTGCTCGAAAATGATCGCGCCAGGCTCTATTGGGACCGGGCCATCATCACAGACAGGACTATTCTTGCGAATAAGCCTGATATTGTGCTGATGGACCGGGCACAGTCAAGGATATTTTTGGTCGACATTACCATTCCGTATGACGAGAACCTCGTGAAAGCCGAAACAGACAAGCAAACAAAATATCTGGACCTGGCTCACGAGGTGACCGACATGTGGGGTGGTCTGCCGACCGAAATTATTCCTGTAGTCGTCTCTGCAAACGGGCTAATCCCAGTCAGCCTCTCGGGTCATCTGAGGCGGCTGGAACTACGTGGCGGACCGCTCCAGGTTCAAATGCAGAAGGCGGTGCTCCTCGATACCGCCCGCATCGTCCGCCGGTTTCTTTCCCTTTCCCCCTAACCCTCGGCCGTTTGGTCTCCCCTGCCGAGGGCCTCCATCTGGTTGGGCTTTTATTTATTTATGTACTTTTATATTTATTTTATGTTATTGATATTTATGTATATTTATCTTTTCATTTTCATTTATAATTATATATTTATAGAACCCAACCAGATGAGAAAACTATTTACGTAGGCGGTCCCATAATGAATTGGCCTAACTATGAACCAATGAAGGAAATGAAACGAAACCAATTTTATTTTTCAATATAATCACCATGAATACTAACACACTTCTGACATCTGTGAATCAACATCTCTAAACCTTTATAAAAATAATCACATTTTTTATCCTCAAAATTACTGAAGGCGGCCGCCTGCAACTCTTCATCGCTTGAAAATTTT